GATTATCATTGTCCGGCTTTCCATTTTATTGTGCACAGTTGATCATTTTTTGTGGTAACAAAACTAGCCTGTGATCGCCTCCATGGGGCGCCGTTCCGCGGCCAATTTTTCAGTCATTGATTTGATACAGGAAACTGGGTATCTAAAGCTCTGGTTTAGATACACAACAGGTGGTTGTACATCGACGTAGACGGGTGACACACATAAAGGTAACTACTATAAGCGTCCGGTGCCGTGATTCCTCTCGGGGAAAAAGGAAATTGGGACGTTTTTGCTTCTATCATTGAATACATTTCCTCTACCTCATGTAGGATCCTCTGCCGTTGCTCTGTTCCCAGCCGTGGCAGAGCGACGTGCTATATTTCTTACCACGAGGCGAGGGTTCCGCATGTTGGCCTTAAACCATATAGCAAAGCTAAGTAGCTGGTCAAGATTCAGCTTCATTTATGTTTAGCTATTATATTGCATAAAATATTGTGATATCCGCCCGTACACCGGAAACGTAATATACGGCCGGAATAACTTATTAATAAGCTATGGTAATTATTACGGTTGTTTCTACTCTTTGTACCGGTCACTGTTTAATGAATACCAATGAAAACTAGTAAATCGAATTGTACATCAAGAATAAGTATAATAAACGTAAAGTAGTAATCTACGAAACGTAATAGAGTAGCACGACCCAAAATGCCGGTAACCAACGTCCAATAGACATAATATAATCGCACAATTCAATGACAATTAAGGGGGTTCGGAGGTCTATACGACGACACCCTTGCCAACGAGCCCCTTTGCCATAAACTATACAATATGTCATATGTCTAAGCTCTTTACTCATCTGTGCATTTACAATCGGAAAAGACATAGTATTATATCTGTTATATTCGGTCAGTTTCTGGATTATGTCTATAATAACATTTTTGGGCAAAGTTGGCACGTTCAAGATATCAACAGTCGACAATATTAGTTGTTGAAGACAGATAGATGTTTCCTTTATTAGTCCAATTGTGTTTTGCGTCCTGCAACGGAGCTAGCGTCCATTCATCGCTTTCTGCTCGGTGAAGAGAGCAGAAAACAATAAAGACCAACAAGCTTTGGCTACGCAGTAATCCGTAACGTGTCGTGACGGGTGTCTACGGTAACGCCTTGACTCGCCAGTCACGAGCCGCTTACTGACACAAAAATAACAGTAAAAATCTATTAAGACAACACGACCTAGTACCAAATTCGTCCTGAATCACCTAGACATCTTCCTATTTAGTTCGAAATATTGCTTTGTTGGCACCGGCACCGGCACCGTGCTAAATCACTACGAGAACCGCCTCCTACCGAAAATGTACGCTAACCCATGCTCTTCACGCCTGTTATGTGCTAGTGCAATTCTGCTGTATGTGCGTTGCCCGTACATAAGCCAGATCTTCTTCTCAGCTATACCACGCCTGGGATCAGGCCATGACCAGCCTGACCAAATGAGCGGTTACTAACGCTGTTGGTTTGTATAGCGTCACTAGGTAAGTGCTAACAGGCAGGGCAAAATCTCTGCTTAGTCAGCGTCTTGGCGTTGCCACACTGTTGCAAAGGCTATTCGACCGCGTAGCGATTTAACGTTCGGACGTTGGTGGCCCCGTCAAATTAGCCAATTTCACCACGAGGACCAAATGTGGAACAGAAAAAAAAAGAGGAAGGGTCAATTTACTGAGGTTTGATTTGGGGCTTGAATAAGCGCCCAGTGTATTGTTTGTTGTTCTACGAATGAATTCGGGCTGCATCGACTGCGGACAGATACTGGTCAGCGTCCTGTGTTGGTGCACGTTTATCGGACAACAAACGCCGGCTACCCTGCATATATATGCCTTTTTATATATGTATGTAAATTTTCTATTAAACAGATGCGAATTTTGACGGACCTACACTGCCCTGGTCTGCCGTTCGTACCATTTGTCAGGCGGAATATTGTCTACGTGTTATTTAGACGTCCACGGTGTTATGCCAATCGTGAAGGTAACAAAATCGCTCATCGGCACATCAAACTCGGACAGATTGCCTACGTCGTTACCGTACGTTGTTTCACTTTGATGAAGTTGTACTCTGTCAAGATCACTGATGGCGCATCGGGCACAAAATCAAATTTCGTCATCTGGTTAGCTTAAGCTGCTAAAATGTCGATGTCACTTGGACAACAGTGCCTTTCGAGCTATATCGAATTTTCAATAGGAGAGACAAACCTTGTAAATCAAAGTATTATGTTAGAAATAGAAAACGACGGTTTAAAGGTTTGAAAAGGTAGGACTGAGGGCATCAGGTGGGCTAAATGTGCTCACTTGGTCAGCTGATTGTGATTGTAACGAAGGCTCAAACTCTTATGTTTGCACACCGCTGTAGTATAAATAAAGGTACTAGTTCGATTTTATTCAGTGAAATCCACCTGCTCAATATGCATTATAGAATATAACAAATAATTAGTACTATTACTGACGAAAGTAATTAGGGGCAATTAGTACATACTGATGTTACGGTCGCTGCGTAATATCTATACTACGGCAAAATGTAATCGATGCAAGCCTATCTGGCAGGCCTATGTTGGTCGACGAAATGCGGGGGAACTCTGCATTTCGATTAATTGATACTAGTCTAACACCTAGACACTGCAAACAACAATAGACAGCACTTGACGTGGAACGGCCGCATAGGAAACTTTGAATTGGCCTGCAGTTGAATCACAGGATCAAAAAAAATAATCCCTTCTCAGGTGATCATGTGCAGCCGAGAGCAGGCACAATGGCCGCTGCTGTCACTACGAACTTGTCATGTGCCTTTTTTTACCCATCTAGTTCACCGCCATTATTACTGGTCATGTATACTGTGATGCCTTTATCTTTTGTGGACCTTGCTCATTGTGAAGTTTTCCCTGACCGCCACCCTTACCACCAAAAAAACTGGAGTTATTTGCCTTTTTTATGGCGGCTGCTATGCAGCCCTGTCCCCACTAGTGCAAAATGAATTACGGATAATGCAATTTTACAGATAATTTGGTCACACTCGTTCGCTTCTAGGTTTTTCCGTCCGTGGCGCGGAGCCAACGATATTTGACGAGTCGCTCGTAAACGCTCACTAACAGAGATACCACGAAGCGATGCTCACGCTTCACCATATAAGTAAGATACTATAGCAAGTCATTAGTTTGTTAAAAATACTCACCCCTGGCGAAAAGTCCAGCTGCCACAGGGGCCTGACCGCCATGGTAAGCTAGAGCAAGTTGGCGGTCGGAGCGATCATTGGCGCCAATGTTATAGCCAGACAACCGCACTATGCGGGATTTCTGTATTCGTCGTTGGTTGTCCGCGTCTAGAACAGTTTGTCTCGTCCCCCACTCTGGGGGACTGTCTATCCCTCCCCAATTCGATGTGTGCGAAGCCTTCTTGGGACAAGAACAGTAAGCCTAAAGTGACCAACAACAAGTAAGACGAAATGAAATGAACGAAGCTGGTGGACGAAAAAGACGAAATGCTGGAAGGAAACGCTAAATCTGTTATTTCGGCGATGTATTTTTGACCATAGCGTGCAGGTACTGCCACGGTTCCGGCGGTTGCGTCTGGCTCTCCGGAACACTCGTGCAGTTGACTTTGTCAAACACATAGACAGGCGGGCGGCAAAGACGGCTGGGATATTGTAAGTAAAGAAGTGAGAGGGCTTTTTAACAAGGGTTATGGGGATTCGTATTAAGGGGACGTGAAAGACGTGAGCAGTAGTGAGTTACTGGCCTGGTAGCAGACCCCCCATTGAAGCAATCTTTATAAGCAAGTATTACAAAAATAGTGGGATTTCATGAACTGCTCACTCGCTGGTTGCCCAACTCTGTTACATTTGGTGGTCGTTTGTCGCTGCTTGATGATGCGCACGTATTCCACGGCGATCGGGTGCGACGTGATGGGGCTGTTTGGTGCCGCTACTGTTTTATGAATGAATGTTTCGTAGAGCGTAAAAAGGCGACAGCGTGTTTATGGCTTCTTCTCAATTTGATTTTACTACTGTAGACCTTGATGGTCGTCTTGTCGGGGCGGTACACCGAAAATTCTACAAATATGCGTTGATAGATCTGGCAGACAATTTTTTGTCTATATCGTCTACTAACCTAAATACACAGTCACACAGGCAGACAGAGATGAAAAAAAAGAGAAAGGGGAGAGGGGAGAGATTGATGGGCCTTGACTACTGGTTGGACATATATGACTCTCTCCTAGTGAATCAAACAGTAAGCAGATACTAGTTTAGCTTCTTGCTTTTGCACCGGGCAAATTGCAGTTGCTTCATCAGATCAGTGCTATCAAAGAGCATCTAATTATATGGCTCACTGATAGCGACACTGTGTCAGAACGTGTGGATTCCTTTATTTAGTTTTATCATATAATTGGGCTACCCTATTTAATAAAGGTTAAAGTTGATTTTCTCCAAAATATCAAGTTTTTATTTGCTTTTGGTACATAAAGTTATTTGAATCGCTATACTATCTTACAGTAGATAAATTATCAATGAAAATATCCCATGCAAACAATCTGTGTGAACCCTTTTGCCGCTAACGTATTACTAAGTAATATAGGCTACAATGACAAGGTTCGCAGTATCCAGGCGCTTGTAAACAGGCGCGAGGCTACAAGAGCCAAAAGAGCAAGCCCATTTAGTACAAGACTGGTTTTACGGGATTTGTAACAAACGTTTTTTGTACGCCGCTCTAACCATATCAATTTTCCTTGTTCCTTTTTATTTGTGTCGATTTCTGTAATGCGGTGCTTGAAACGTTCTCAGTTTATCTTTATATTGTTGTTTATCCATGAACTTCGCTCGTCTACCTGAATCAGCGAGACGCTGATGCAGATTTTCACAATATCTTCATGTTTCCAACATTTGTTAGATACTTGTTTATTTATTTGGTGAGGATGTACAGAAAATATTTATCCGGAACAATGAAACACATTTACTAATGCGGAGAATTTGTGTTTTAGGTAAGCGCGGGTCTCATTGTCGATTGTGAGAAACTACTATAGAGTGACGGAACGCGCAGCTGATTTGGAGGCAGGCGTAAAAGGAGCCATGAAGGATATTTTGTTGTAGTTGAAAAATCCAAAGTGATTCTGTTGTAAGCGTCCTACGTACGGTAACACAAGCTGATGAAGCATTTCGATTGTAGAACTTACACTCACAGTAGTATATCGTGTGTAGACTATTATCAGTTGTAAGATAAGCGGTGCCTGAGCTGCGGATCAGCACAGGGTCCACACGTGTTACATAATGCAAATGAAAATCACCCCTGGACGCTTTAGCACTGCCTGTTGATTGTATTTACTCACTGTATCATCTCTTAATCTTTCCGTCTTTAACGCTATCACGCGAAAATCAACAATTTTCTATCTGCGTAACTTAATATCATTAACTCACAGCCCCGAGATTGCTCTTCCCTATGACTGTGGTAGACTGCCTGTTCGGCTGGTTTCAGACCTCTCCTAGCCACTGATCAGCCTTGACGCCACTTAAAAGTTGTTTGTTGTCATTCAAAAATGGTCGAGACAGAAACGATTTTTGTTATAAGCAAATTACCGTCCGCCGGATGGTGGGTACTTTCTCCATGAGCAAGTGGCTTAAAGAATCGATTAGACATTAGTGTTTCGGCCCCTTTGCCTGTCTGGCGTGATTACTAACGTCAACTCTCTGAGCCGTCGTTCTCCGAATTGATTTGAAACAAACTCTGTTCTGAAATTCTTTAGACGAAATCACCGTTATATCTCTAACTTTTCGATATTGTTGTTACCATTTCTGCTATAAAAAAATAGACATGTTTAAGTAGTATATGTAAACATCGTCGGTGACGGGTTAGGCTAAAGTATACTTCATCCATCTCAGCAAACTTTGAACTCGCAATATATACATATA